GACCATGAGGCCAATTCCTCAGCCTGCACGCCTTGACGACGCAAAGCCTTGGAACTTCCCAGCCATTCCCCAGCACCTGTATCGCCAACAAATTCCAAAAAATGGTTGTGAGATGGAGCCGGAAGAGTGGTAGCTGTGGCAGCAGTGATTGAAGCAGCCAACAAAGCCACCATACCAGGTCTGGTGGGGGAAGGCTTGGGCTTGGGGTTGGTAGTCTTGGGGGCAGGCTTTGATTTGGCATTGGGATCATGTTTGAACGGGCATTTCTCGCGGAAACACTTACCTTGGGCAAAGTAAATGCAAGGCATTTCAGCTTTCTGTGTTGCAGTCAACTCGGGGGTTTTAGCCACGGTCGGCTTTGAAGTTTGCTTTGATTTGCCCTTTCCGTCCTTGTCACCTTTCCCTGGTTTGCCCTTTCCTTTACCATCCTTTCCACCTTTAGAGGCAGGCAACCCAGACGATTCCTGAACTGAATGGGGCTTTTTGGAAGGACCTTTCCTCAGAGCCTCCTGAATGCTGAGCGCGTTGGCTTCCTGCTGAGACTCATGGAGACACTGCTCCAACTTTCCCCATAACCAATCGAAAGTCAAACATTCCGACCCAGGATGAGCGTCGCGCACCTTGTCAACATGCCTGCGCATGAGTGGATGCTTCTTGACACGGTCATACAACCACTTGGCTAGGAGTCTAGGTTCTGGACGATCAGCAGGACCTATCTGGTTGCGTACGTAATTCACCTTGTCCCTCCATTGTCGAAGGGAAGCGACATTGTCTTGCGGAGGGGGAAGGTTGTACAGTTCCAACGCAGTCATGATGGCACCTGCGTTTTGATCAGTGTCGAACTCACGATAAACCAGGTTCAACATAACCCGACCCCGAACCTCATGACCATTCAATTCACACTCCTCCAAATATGAGTTGAACCGAACACCAAAGTGAGATCTAAGATGCTCTGGTTTACATAGTGCAGCGGCTAAGACCCTGTCAAAACGTGGAAAATCCCCAGAAGACGACTGTAGAGCATGTTTCTCTGTTGCTGATCGGGCATTGATAGTGTCGGAAAGCCATCGCATGAGGGATCCATCAGATGAACGATCATAACTCATCAGTAGAGTCCTCAAAGAGTTCTTCCATTGCCTGAAAGCACCTGCATCACTAGGAAGGGTAGGTACCTTGAAGTAATGCAAATCCTTAACACGTAGAATGGCAGATTCAAGATCATCTCCGCTTCCACTGGCCTTACTGTGAGCGTTGGACGCTTGATCCTGATCTTTGACCTCCTCTGCATGACCTTCCGCATCATGGAACAAACGAAACTCCTCAACTCCTTTGGGTGTAGTTCCGTTTGGCGTCTGGAACCCCCTTTTTGAGGAGATGTTTCACAAACACCCTGTTCCCACCAAAAGTCTTGCTTCAGGGTTTGCACTTCAGCATGAAGGTTCTGAAACATATCCCTGTCCTCCAAAATGTCTCCAACAAGTTTGTCAAATCTAGAGTTCAACCTCGAAATGTTTTGCTCTGAGGATTCCAACCTAGAGTTCCAAGACGTGAGAAACACGTTCTTCAATGATGTCAATCCCTCTTCAATTAGTTTGATCCTATGTTCAAACTGGACTGTCGAATCTCCCGCAGCATTTTGACCTGGTTGACTCACAAGGGCACTCCTCAATCGATCTATTTCTGTCATGCATTCTTCCAACCTTGAGTTCAAAAACTTCTCTCTTTCAGCAGCCAGACTTAAGGCAGCATCCCTGGCAGTCAGCTCAGCCTTCAGTTGGTTGACTTGGGATTGAAATTGCGCATTGTTTTCTAGCACGTGGGCTCTTGCTTCCAAAATCGCATGCGCTGCTTCGGTTCTAGCCCCCGTTACAGCTTCAGCCGCTTGGGCCATCACAGAGGGTTCCAATGATGGGGGGGCAACATACTGGTTTACAGTTTGGTGGATCTGTCGATCATCCTGAAAATTCTGAAAGGTTTGGTGATGATGAACTTGCCGGCAATCCTGAGCTCCTTGCCCAGGACTCTCACTAAGCCCCGAACCAGATGGCATTGCACTAGGCTCCAGGCTTTCCAAACGCTCACAAACTTCCATCCCTGCTAATGGGTTCCCATCTCCCATTTCAAGCACTTCTTTGCGTTCCATCATTTCTTTCCAACTGAGCCGACCCTCTACAACACTCCCTATCCGCCCAGAGGGGACGCCCGCGCTTTGCGCTGGTGCGCCCTTTGTGGAAGGATAAGGACTAGGCTTACGAACCTTTCCCTTTTTGGGGGTCCCTGAAGATGATGAACTGCGACTAGGAGCCCGTGAACTCAAAATGGCTGGCACCCCATCAACAGATGAACTCAATGAAAACTCAGGACTAGAAGATGAAACCATCAACCGCAAAACCACCCAAAGAACTTATCCCAACTGAAATCAAAATCTGCCAAGCTTTTGCAAGACGCGATTTGATCAAGGGATGGGAAACTGCTCTGCCCAAGATGGAGAATCTGCAACCGGAAGGAAGCGGGATTGCTCAATGTAGTCGGCAAACTCCGCAAAGGATCTCACGTGATACAAATTCCGATCTTTTGGGCGATGTTCTGCTTCAAAATAGACGTCTGTTCCCTGGGATGCAGCAATAGTTTCACGACAGGTCCTCAACTTGTCGTCCACAAAAGCAGCAGTTTTCAACCGGCTCACAATCCCAGCTTTTTGGGAAGGGTTGTCGCAAAAGTGAAGCCCGACTTGTTTCGAACACCCTTGCGTTGTGACAAATTGGTTCAAATCTCTTATTGATGCCACTGCCTGGGATCTCAAGCGGTATGAGTCCGCACCAATGTAAGAAAGAACTGCCACTTGGTGATGTCCGAGATTCAAGAGCTTGACAATTGCCTGTTTGTTGATCAATGGGATCTCACCAGATGTTTCCTCTCGCTTCCCGTCACGACTGTACTTTAGGAATTCAACGCAGTCCAAGACACCGTGCAAATCGGTCACGATCAACACGCGAGAAGGTGGCGGCCCTCTGGTCAGATTTGATGGCCCAACTCTGGGCCTCAAAGGCTCACCCCGAGTGTCACGTGAGAGTTCACCTGGATGAGGAGAGCGATGGCTACTGGTGATCAACCTCGCCGACGACGAAGGTTCTGCAACTTGTTCGGGCCTGGATTCAGTGAAAGCTTGCTCGTTTGAGGCGGGCTTCACTTGAGATCCTGATGCCGAGCTACTTGGGAGTTCCCGCGGCTCTACTTCAGCGCTTGCAGGATGAGGAAGTTCTCGGAGTTGAGAACCGTATTGAGGTACTTGTGGAAAGTCTTTCTTTGGTTGATACTCACCCCGTTCAGTCCTCGCCCGAAGGCTTTTCTGAGCTTTGACTTTCTGGCCACCTCTTTCACCCCTTGGACGCTTAATTTTGCTGACCTTTTGGAGTAGCTTTTCAGCTAGCAAACAGTGCACCTCCGGTATGCGTCACTGATAGCGCTGTTGCCCCTTCCGCAAGGATTTGGACTATGGCGCGAGCTTCCAAGGCTCTTAACCCAATAAATCAGCAGACACACCTTGTTTATGTCTTGAGCCAAATAAGTTTGTCATGGGCTTTTATACCCTGTAGGTGAACTGTACATGTAGGGTTTAACCCAAAACGTTTCACGTAGAAGTAGACCACCCCGCCCCAGTTTTGCCAACAAACCATTCGTTTCATCATCATCATCATCATCATCATCATCATCATCATCATCATCATCAT